GGTCGCAATAATCCCTGCGCACCTGGTTAGAGCGTAATTCGACCCCCCTATATAAAAAACAGCTTACAGCTGGTCTCGGCCAGGATAATAAAGTATTATTATTATTATTATTATTATTATTATTCCTCTTCCCACTCCTTCCTTCGACTTGGAGCCATCTGTGTACCAGCATAAGGCTCCTTTCTCAAATTTTGGACTGTTCTGTCTCGGATCACCACTTTAAAGCGCTTGTCGTAGTCATGTAGCCTGAAATCATGTATATGTACTCAGGGATGTTTAATTGTTCTACAACTCTCTGCACCTTTGTGTATTCCTCCCACCTGCGGAGCAATCCGATTGCTCCCCTTGCTGCATCCTTCTTCACCACTAAGTGAAGAGTGAGGAGGCCCAGCAAGACCTCCATGGCGCCTGTGAGTGTAGTACCCATTGTTCCAGTAATGGTCAGACAGGTTATTCGTTACAACTTGTTTAGTTGAATCTGGGCTACGTTTGCTTCTGCTACGGACCAGTATACTACCGCATGGTAGGCAGGATAGGCCCAATTACAGTGGTGTATAGCCAGAAGGAGAGGCGGAGATGTAGTCCCCATTTCCTTCCTTTAAAGCCGGGTGGCCTTGTTGACCGCAGTGATGAGGTGGAGCTTCCAAGTTTTTTTGTTGATGATGGTTTCTCAAACACGAAACGTCACAGTGAATATCGTTGGGCACCATCTTGTAAAGTGCCTATGAGGAAGTGATATTTTTTTAATCTTTTCAAACAGGGTCCGACAGGGTCAGAAAAAAATACAAAACGAATAGAGTTAATTTCGGAATACCTTCGGAACTGATCGGAATATTCGAAATTTTAAACCTTCATTTTACTAAGCCCTAAAATACCCAACTTTATGTTTGTTTAACCGAGCTTTAAAAAAATTTAATCAAAAAAATAAAGATGTTTTTATTAAAATATTGCATAAGAAAACAAAATAAAATATTTTAGCTTTCGAAAAATCTGTATTAGCGCTATTAGCGGGGAATCAACACGTTGATTTAGGTGTAAACAAAGTTAATTATCACGTCGAAAGCCGTGTATGTCATAATACTGTTTTTTATTATACCTGAATCACAATCTCCGTTTTAAACACTCAAATGCGTGCGAAAAAGGGCCTTTAAAACACACGTGCTTTAAAGTTGCTAAGTAACGATACTTCAAGTATGACTTTTGAAACTGTCATCTGGATGAAATAAAAAATCCTCTTAGGTCGCTTTCTGTAAATGCAGAACATTTCTTTGGCTTTTGTACCTATCCTTTGGTTGAAGCTTTCACAAACGCGCGTAATTTAGGGTATGCTTCCAAATCTGTTCCACTTTTTAATCGCAGCATTGCTTTAAAGTTTTGAATGAATGCACCAAAATATAGAAGATTTAAATACCTTTGACATTTCCTTCATATATGCCAGCATTATGGATGCATTTAAGACTGTATTCGTAAGTAACTTCCTATTCATCCATGGACTTTTCATATTCTTTATAATAGGCTTTACTGGAGTTGGATTTTACACCTACCAACGTTTGTTTAGATTTTACAACAATCGATTTAATGGACGGTGTATTATCTTTTTCAACGGAAATCGTTTAATTCACAAAGACGATTGATTTTTATAAGCAAACGTCAAGTGACATTTCCATGGCAATCGTGAAATTACGAACACCCAGCCCACTTAATTAGACATGTATTCGTGTATAACGTCTATATGACAATTGTATTTCCTATTTTTAAATTATACTGCAGGTATAATAAAAAATACTATAAGATACACGTGTATAATTGGTCTTTAAAGCACTTGCAACGTTAAAGGCACTCCGCTTTGCGTCGTGCTTTAAAGACTTGATTATACACTTGTATCTTAATATACTATTCCAGTTTTTGGCGATTTTTTCGAAATTTTTCTATTAGAATGATATTTTCATTTTTGTTTATTGAAATATGCCTTTACGAAAATTTTGCTACCCCGCGCAACTCTGTACAATGAAAAAAATTTATCCCCTTGATGAAAAATACGTGGTTTTTTCGAAAATCGTGTATGCATATCTCGGAAACGCCTCGTTTTTACGGGTCCAAAAAATGACCTCCTTTTTATCACAAAACAAGGTATGTTTCCTCACATTTCAGACCCCTACTTTTTCAGAAAAATAAAAATAGAAAAAAATTTGAGGGTGTGTCAAAAAAGTTGTTTATTTTTCATTTCCCTTAATGTTTAAATTGAACATCTTCGTCTAAAATTAATAGTTTTGTCTCAAATTGCCAAAATTCCACCACTTTCACCACTTTCAACCCCCTGGATTTCGCCCGCGGAAAAGGTCTGCCATTTTTCCCCAATTTCAATACTGTTCTGTTTTGGACTTATGAGAATAATGAACGTCAAGTGAACATCAAAATTACTACAATGAGATTTCAAAAACTGAAAGGCAGTTTCGAGTTCTATAATTTGTGTTGAAGCTTGGGAACGGCAATAGGAGTGAAGGAGTAACGGGTGAAGTTCGGCGCCGCACTTCTTTCTGATTAAACCGGCTTTATGGCTCAGTGGTAAGAGCGTTGGGTTATAAATCCGGAGGTCGGGTGTTCGAACCTGGGTTGAGGTGAATTTTTCATCTGTGGCGGAGATGTAAATTACCTTAGACCAGTTCCGAGCATTCTACCGGCTACTCCGAATTAGGTTTTTCTGCAGTTTTCCTAATTCGTAAGGTAAATACCGGAGAAATAGACCAACTTAAGACCTTCTGCAGAGGCACCTCTAAATAGCATTATGCGGGTCACTCTGTAATTGGGCGCATGCCTGTTGAGGGCCCAAAACTAAGAGAGGGATAATAAATAAATAAATAAATAAATAAATTATGAAGATGTTTTTGTTTCGTGTTAAGACAAGAATCAAGGGGGGATTTTTTAGGCATAGCTAACGTCGCATAAATTCTTACCTTAAAACATACCGAGGGTAAATGAACGCTCGAGGTGGCGATCGAAAAATAAGGGCGCCTTTCTTTAATGGGGGAAACTTTTGCTGTGAAAATGGGAGAGTGCGGATGGTTTCACGAAAATGTTGTCTGCAGTTAGCGTCGTCTTACAATGTATCTTGTTGGTTTTGTATAGTATAGTCACAGGTATAGTGTAATTCAAAGAAATCCAAAAGTACTATTTGCGGTTAATTTAATTAAATCTGTAGGTCAATGAGTAGATATTGAAATTGCCTGCAAAAACACTGTAAATTAATTAGGTTTAGGTTTCAATAAAAGAAATTATTATCAAGGCAACTCTGTCCCGATTGTGGGAAACGATAAACAACAAAACACAATCAACTGCCCTTAAATTCCATAATTCAAAGTTAGCTAAAAGTTTAAATTGAATAAATCGATGAAAATAAAGAGCGTTTGTTACGTATGTATAGGTATATTTAAGGTGTCAGAATTTGTCTTTCCAGGTTCTAATGCTAATCTAATATAAGTTGTATTAAGGAAGTCTCGACGTTTTGCAAATTACAGGCGTGGGTCTTGCAAATGTTACATTATCATATCATCAAACGTTCACTTATTTAAAATAGCGTGCAATGTATTCAGTATATACGTCTGTAAGGGCCGCGAGACATGACCTTAATTATGTTATGAATGTAGGTTCGTAGCTGGAAAAGAATTAAGCTAATTACAATTTTGTTACTCCCAGTCTCCCACATAGGTCAGTGTATTATTTCACGTAGTGATGCGACATGTCTTACCATGCAGATCATTTTATTAGTACGTTTACTTTAGCATTTGTTAATGTGACATTAACCAAATTCTGTTATGTGCTATTATTCTATTATCTGACACATTCTCTCTCACCCTTCCCCTTTGGGTGGCCAATCCAAATATCCCACGCATAGCATAGTAAATGGTTGCGTTATGCAATATTTATCGATGTTTACCGCAGAAGTGGGTCCAGACGGACGGAGAGACGGAACGATGGACGGACAGACAAAACGCAAACAATAGGACATTTTTTTAATTCAAATGCGCTAAAAGCAATTACAATACCGCTGTTTTAAGTCTTTCTAGCGACCTTACTTTTTCCATGCTCTTCTTTAGTTTAGAACGCATTGAATTTCAACCGTGTAACACATTTTGCAAAAAAAACGTTGCGTAATCGTCCACTCTTTTGCAGAAACATTCTTATTCCGGCCATTGAAAGAAAAAGTAATTTTTTGGTTTGATCTTAGGTCAGTTATCAGTTATGCAATTACAGTACCTATTTAGTGATTCATACTAACGTACGAAAAAAACCATAGAAAGTCATAATGTAAGCTAACAGTTACGGAATACAATGGGAATGAATAAAATGAATATAAGCTACCCATAAATATGTATTTAATTAAAGTACGGAAGTTATAACTCATTAAAAGTTACCTACTCCTTTAGAAAACCCAAACCGTAAACACCTATGCAAATAAGTGCGTTTAACGATTTGCAAATTTAATACATATTTATGAGAAAGGCCATCGAAATTCAAATTTTCCTTTTCTGCCAAATTGTTCGTTCACCTTATTTTTATCCTACGTAACATCTTATAGAAATGTCAGTTTTCTCCTTCGCCTCCACATTTCGTATTTAAGCATTTCTTCGTAATAAGATCTTGTCTTAGACAATGCACATTATTGGACTGGATTCTGACACGTAACCTCGTGAACATCGCTCTAACTGTCAAGCGAGTAGAACCTGAAACTCGTTTTCTCCAATAATGGAGTTTTAAATCTATATATGGCCGTTCAATGATTACATACCAGTTTTATTTATATTCTCAATTATGCATTGTTCAACTCCTTTTTGTTTACAGAAAATAACGTTAATTAATGGCAAAGCGGTCAGCATTATAATTCTGAATACGAGTTCAAGTATTTTGCCATTTGCGCATAATTAACTACTGTTCCATTTTCCAACAAAATCTCGCTTGGTATTTACACAATTCGATTAAATCAAATTCTCTGTTTTTTTAAGGATTGGGATCCGACTATTCCTGGCGTGAAAGAGTATCCCGAGGTGAAGGCGGCCGTTAGATGTTGGCACGAGCAGCAAGACGGACAAAGGATTTTGCTTACTACACCAAGCGTCTTGGTTGGATATCGAGTGGAGGTTTATCGAGCGGAAGGAACAACCCAGTGGTACACGGCTGTAATAATCGGATATAACGAAGCAACTCGTGTGAGTATTTTTTAGTGCACTTTTGCGCTCCTTATGTATGTCTATCTGTCTGTCTGTCTAAGTCACAAAGGCTCCCGAACTACACCACTTACAGACTTGGTATTGGTGTCATTCGATTAGAAATTAAAAATTATTTCACGTTTGTAATGCCCATCAGGGCTATTAAAATCGAAAAAACAAATTTGAAAGTGCACTTTTCGCCTCTTGCTCACAAGCGGCTTAACGAATTTTTCTGTAATAAATTTATTATCCAGGCATACCAAAATTTGTTGTAGCAATGTGCACATTTTTGATGGGTTTTACGGGTCAGATGAATAAATTTAACAATTTAGGCATTTTTTTGAAAGCCGTTAACATTGGGCAACGAACTTAACACTTCGGTTGATTCAACCTTACAGTAAGAATCTTTATTTCTTACTGATTCAACAATGAAATGAAGTGCTCAGCTCTGTCACTTTATATGTTGCATACTGAGTAATGAGTAAAGGGCGATTCATTCATTATTCTATTTGGTAGCATCAAAGAAGAAACTTTAAAATTTTAGGCCAAATATTTTAGATCTCCAGTTTATTTAAAAAAAACAGTTTGTGTTGGCTCCCTTCTATCACCTAATTGAGTTTAAATACTTAATTGTTACGCCCTGTGTTATCCATTTGATGCCACCAATCAATCTTGAGCACCCATTTTCATAAATTTAAGATAACAGATTATCATAGCCATGCGATCTTAGATACTCCTAAAAATAACCGTGTACACTGGTTTTTAGCGACAGGAAATCAAAATTTCAGTACAAACTGGAACTAAAATAACAGGTAAGTTGCAAACATGCTGTGAACCTGTTCGGTCTAAACTAAACTACCAGAACTATTCACGTTGGTGACATTATTGCGATTATAGTAAGTTGAAATTATTCACCGACTGACGAAAATTGCTATTTTCCTCCCTGCTCATTTCAGAAAGGAAGCTGAGGATGGATTGAAGATCATCCCGTAGTGATTTGAAAGGAGGACTCGAACCCAAGGTTAGGAGTCATTAAGATTCAAAAGGATCCGTGATACCAAATATCTGAGAATTCAGATCCGTGATTTGAATCAACTATTTGTTAAGTCGATCCTGTTCTGATTCGTATACAGGGTGGGTGGGTTATTACCCGTCCACGGAATCCTTTAAAATTATTATTGCCGGTTAAATAAGGAAATTAGGGTGGAATTAAATGATGCTATTGATTGGTGACTGGTGTGAGGAGCCCCTAGCCTATTACTATACAGTGAATTTTTTTTAAATGCGTACATAGGAGTTTGCATGCAATGTAATTTCCCTATGTTCGATTTAAAAAAAAACACATCAATCTATTGAGTAGTTCAAATGAGTAGTAGATACAATTGACAGCTGTCACATTTTTAAAAATACCGCCGTCCAATTTAATTACGAAATCGATTAAGTTATGGCTTAGAATGTCAAGGAGGACACTTCGAACATTTATTGTAATTGTTTTCGGTATTTATTTTCTTATTTTCCTCATTTATGTATTGAATAGATCAAATTAGTACAATACCAGGTGCACATGGCATACAAATAATTAAATGTTGGTTCACAATGAATTGTGATGTCAGCGCGTGCCATGTGAAGTCAAGTTATCGTAAGTTTAAGAAAAATGTATCCTAAAGTTGCTATGGCCTCCCATGGCTTCTTTAAAGTGGTCTTCATCATAAAGACTATAGAATTGCTGTTCATAGTCACACAAGTTGCGCGATTTGGGAATGTGAACCGCGCACATCTCATAGATTGATGTGTTTTTTTTTTAATCGAACATAGGGAAATTACATTGCATGCAAACTCCTATGTTCGCATTTTAAAAAAACTCACTGTATATTAACTTAAAAACTATAAGCAGAAGCACGTTAATTGAGGAACTCTATTTTCCCGAATTGGAGTGATTGAAATAACTGAAGATTAGATTCATTTCAGTTATTATAAGCACGTTATTCTTCAAAGGCGGATAGTTTAGGTAGATAGAAGCATGAAGAATGACAATGAGAATAGTTCTGTACCTACATGTATATTTTCGGAGAAAATACATATAAATTCTATCATAACAGCGCAAATGTTTAATTGTATGTAAAGGAACATTTTGTGATTATGGCGATTTTTAACTCGAATAACTCTAACAAAATATTTTCGTTCCCACATTGAAAGAAAATGGCGGCTCGAGGTCATCTAGTTTTTATATACTTACCTCTAAAAGTTCGAAACAGAAGGAGTTGAAATTCCTTCCTTTTCGTATCCCTACTGCTTTTAATTAGGATTAAGCTGTGCGATTATGAATTAGTGCTTTTCGGGCTTTCAAATGTGCGCATCCTCTTTCACCCATATTGATAGAGGACAGAGGTACGAGGGTGAAATATGTGTAGAGCTAAATTGAGTCACTGTTTTTGCACTAAACGTGACGAAACTCTCGGTACCATGCCCAATATTGGGATCATTGGATTTAGGCGAAGCGTTACCCTTTACCTTACCTTTTAAAAATTTACCCCGTATATTCCCAGCTTGCTACAAGAATGAATAAGGGTACCTTACAAAGAATACAGCTTGTACAATAGTAGCTTTTTTCTATGTCTCAGACACGTCGACGATGTTAATGCTATAGTTCCTTAAATGCGCTTTAATAGTGCCGAGCACGCCTTCCTCATTACTCGAACGTACCGGCGTGAGCATGAGATGATTTTGCTCCCATCCAAAGCATACGGTGGATACTGAACGATAAGAAGTAGTCACTTTAAAAGAATTGCCATTATCCCGAAGAAATAGTAAAGAGCAACTCAATTTTGGGGGGTCAAAAGGCAAAGACCAAAAATGATTTCGCACTTAAAAATTCACAGATTTCGCAATCCATGCAAGTATCGGAGACATTAGGAATGATAACCGTATAACGCCAGAACACAAATAACCCATATTCACCCGGGCTCACGTAAACTTTTTGAATAATAAGCCTCATACCATGGTCGTAATAATAATCCTACTAAAGGAGATGTGCGAGAATTAACAAAACAATTCCGCACTACTAAGTAATATACCGAATCGACAGTATCCGCGACTTTTCTTTAACCTACCGATTGCGGCCGAGTACGGTACAATCATCATTTGATGCGACATCGCTCTCTTTTCTGTTGGAACGAAACTGGTAATTTCATACCTATATACAAAACATAAGCATTTCCAATGCCAAAAATTGTGTTTTTGTGAAACAAAGTTGCATGACAAATTACCAAGCCGCGTCGCGCAGCTTCAAATGCGAATGCGGTTCGTATTTTCTCAATTTTTACCTTTTTTCTATCTTAAATGGGTATGCAAGATATGATCCCAAAAAGTCAAACTTTTCGTTTTTTCACCTTTATCTCAGAAACAAATGTAGCTAGATTGGGATTTTGTTTGTGTTTTAAAAGTTTCAAAAAAAGTGACACAGGGTGGCGAAAACCGCTAGTATCTATCTTTAAAAACAGCTGAGATACACTGGGGTCTCAACCAAAATAGCACACACGGTACTTTTGCTCTCCGGTGTCACTAGCTGCACAGTTGTGGTCGTGCCATCATCATTTTTTAGAATCCTCTTAAGAAATCCATCTTCTACCCGTAACGTATCCCACTGAAACCACTACCCCTTTAAAACTAGACCGTATCGAGTTACCTCTTCCCAGGTTTTCCTTCTCTCTTTTATTTTCCAGTTTTTAATCGGACGTAAATGACGGCCATTTTCTTGAACAGTTCGGAGTTCTTGAAGTACCTAACGATCATCCACAAGTACCGTGCGTCGCATATGTTTGTGCTTCAATGATGCGACTTGGATGGTAGTCTCCGGGGCATAACTTGTTCGCTCCCTTTGACCCGTTCTAGCTTCCCCTGACAATTTGTTCTTCTGTCTTGGTTTTCACCAGAGCCCCCCCCCATTGCAGCCCTCGACGACCGACGTTTTATCCAATGCTATTCCATTACTCTGTTCACTATTTCTTCTTCATCGGTCACGCGAGCATTACCACGAAACGTTTTCTTTGCAACATCAAACTACTGGATGATTATTCTTTTTTACTTTAAATTTGACGCCACCTTTTGACCAAAAATGGCAGATACTGTGCTCCTCTATCTGGCTAGGAAAAAAAATTAATCGTGATAAAATTTTGGATCTGAAGGTCTTTGAGGAAAAACTGACACCTTCAAAATCAATCAACGTATTCAGTAGACCTCAATTTCGGAATATTCGGTTCTGAAGGATCATGGTCAACCTCACGAGAAATTATCTGTGAATCTTCATTATCTTTTATGTACTCGTATCTCAATACACGATAATTTGCTTCCAATTTTCCCTATCCCATTTTAAACAACCAATCTGTTTCAACTTCACGAGATCATCGCAAAAACATCTATACTTGTTTGCTTATATATGGGACATTACATTAGTACGGATTATTCCAAGTACTAAATTACACACTTTCAGTACAGTTAAAATTTGCAGTCGCTTTTCTGGTGTCCAAAAAGTCCATGCCGAACTATTTTGAATTTTGAACGGGTATCCTTTCTCGCTTGTAACTACCGTTGTTTGCGCAAAGGATTCTCTTTTCTTTTCGTAACCAGATTAACATTGAATTTTGAAGAAGGTACATCTTCGATTGGTCAATTTTCCACGGCCAACTTCACGCGAGGGACATTTTTTAGAGGAAACAGCGTTTTATAATAGAATACATTTTACCTTCAATAACAGGTAGTATTCATTCCCTACGATTTAAAATGTTGTTTATCCTACATTCTTCTTGCTCTTTGGGCAAGTTTTAGATTATAAATAACACACTTCAATTACTTACCTATTTATTATACAAGACGATAAAGGGATATTTTACCCATTGAGTGGTTAGTTTCCCTTTATCGTCGTGTATAATACAACACTTTATTTTATAGCAGAAGCCATATAAATCATTGTAAACCTTCTGACAATTCTGTCAAAAATAGCAAGCTGCCGCCGCGGTTGTTTCCATAGAAACAGCATTGTCATATGTTCTGAACATTTGAAATAAGAATGACAGGAGTCATTAGACTGCATAATCATCTGTTTCACTTCTCACTCTTTATCTATCCTCACGGAAAAAGCGCCTAGCTCATTCAAACCTTAAACCCATTACAATGTCAATTCAACATCTGCTATAAAATAATGCCTATTTTCCAAACCACGACAGTTCGACTTCTAAAGGACGACAAGACTCCTTTATCTAATTTATTTATTCCAAATTTTAAATGGTACAATACTGCGAGCCATAGTTTAAAGAAAATCGGTTGATTAATGCGGATAACACATCCTAATACTTTTGCATTATTGAAGCAAGTATTTGTATATTTGAGCGCACTGACGATATAATTGGTTCACTAGAATCATTTGTGATTCGTATGCAGAACATCGGTGTTAGAAAGTTAATTGCAACACAAATCCGAACTTGTGCAATTTATTCCACCTACTGGCGTCCCACGAATTAAGATGGCCTGCTTTAATTTCTCTTGTTACTGATCATCTTCTACTTGAAGTTGGAGATTATTTGGTCGACAATTGAGCAGGCGGTGTCTTGGGTAAATCGCGTTTAGTGAAAGTCAAGTTGTGTGTCAGTATACAAGTTGCACTTTTTGGTTGCGTGTCAATTCCTACTTGCACACTATGGCAGTAAGTTGCGAATGGAAGTGTAGTAATAAAAAGTAAATTACCTTTTTGGTGTTATCATAATACCACATATACAGTGAGTTTTTTTAAAATGCGAACATAGGAGTTTGCATGCATTGTAATTTCCCTATGTTCGATTTTAAAAAAAACACATCAATCTATGAGATGTGCGCGGTTCACATTCCCAAAACGCGCAAATTGTGTGACTATGAACAGCAATTCATAGTCTTTATGATGAAGAGCACTCGGTAAGATTTTTTTAAATAAGCCATGTGAGGCCATAGCAACTTTAGGATAAATTTTTCATAAACTTACGATAACTTGACTTCACATGGCACGCGCTGACATCACAATTCATTGTGAACCAACATTTAATTATTTGTATGCCATGTGCACCTGGTATTCTACTAATTTGCTTTATTCAATACATAAATGAAGAAAATAAGAAAATAAATAACGCAAACAATTACAATAAATGTTCGAAGTGTCCTCCTTGACATTCTAAGCAATAACCTAACCGATTTCGTAATTAAATTGGGCGACGGTATTTTTAAAAATGTGACAGCTGTCAATTGTATCTACTACTCATTTGAACTACTCAATAGATTGATGTGTTTTTTTTAAAATCGAACATAGGGAAATTACATTGCATACAAACTCCTATGTTCGCATTTAAAAAAAATTCACTGTATGTAAATAGTGCTTAACTATAACTTCTTGGCAGTTTAGTATGTACGAGTACTATACTAACCGAACCGCTCTGCAAACATTTTATTTTCAAAATTTTCCTGAGTAGAGGCGAACCTGGTCCATTAACAGCAAGCCTCCCCTTCCACAATCGTTCCAACTTATAGTTCACGAAGCGCTTTTGTTAACCCTAATTGTGCAATGTGCATGTTCCAACGCCGCAATTAAAATTCCCTAGAAAAATAAAAACAGAAAACCCCGTAGATGATTCTCATGTCGTTCACAGATCATGATTAGATTGTCTCAATTTAATTTACTGAGGAAACAGAAACTCGTGATTGGTTTATAGTCGCCGTTATTTTCAACCTAGCTACCTGGATTTATTCAAGAAATTCTCGGGTGTTAATTGCGAAAAAAAACGAAATTAAAGCAAAAAAGTGAAACAAAAATAAACCCCCGAAGGTCCCCCGGACTTCAAACTCAATAAATAATTACAGAACATATCACTAGCCCGAGGCGAATTAAAGCAGCATTCCGGATTTTTTTCTCGTATAAAAGTGAAATGTTGTCCGCCCATTATACGAGCCAGATTACGTTGCTCCTTTTGCCAAGCCTATTACACTGAATCACCTGAGGATATAAAATTTCATAGGGTCAAGTTGAACAGACATTTTGAACAGGTTGTGAATACGCAACTGCCCGTAGAATGGAATGTCGGCCTTATAAACAGTTATTAGAGTTATTTCATCATCACATTACTGACATCGAATTTGAACTGTACCAGTTATGGTCAAGAATTCCGCAAAGTGTAATTATCCCTGTAGACACATTTTTTGTGCGGTTTAGGTTTACCAAATGTTAAATTGGAGTTTGGATATCATGCACTAGGTCAGTATTGTGTATCGTCACGCGTAATTACTGATTTATAGGTAAACACGAGCAATTTTGTAATCAATACAATTTTAACTGAAAATACCTACGCGAATTCGAGACCAATCAAACAAACATTAACGTCGCGTCGTCTTACTGAATTACACGATGTAGGTACGCCTGACATGCCAACAAAATTAAGATTACATCCAGCCAAAATAATGTCAGATACTACCAGATTCGCAGATTGCCTTAATATTGTTTCATTTTTTACTAAGGAGCGTGCTAAGGAGGTATGGTACACTACTGTCGGCTCAAAAAGTATATAGACTCGAGTTGGAGACTTAATAAAGAATAATTAAATTTGAATGACTTGATATCAAATTGAAAGATGATTAATTCTATGTTCCTTATAGCTGTAACAAAAAAAAATTTACAAATATTTGAACACTAATTTATTAAAGTTTGCCTCGCTACAAAAAATTTAGTAGCCCATTAAAAGAAATCACCTTGCCATTTTTAATAGACGATCAAACTAACTTACCTGTGAAGTTCGATCGTAATTATATGAGACATCCAATCCGAAGACATTGTATAGAATACCATGTAGTTCGCTTGCTCGAACTCATATCACGAGTATTTAAAGAAAGGTTTCACAAAAAGGAAACAAAAATAGAAGTTCGACCCTGCCGCCGAGCCGCCACTGAGTTAACCTTGCGTTTCGTTCCTCGCGCCAGGCGTCAGGTGATTCATTCCGTTTAAAGATTAATAGTGATGCTGAAAAACCTAGGGCCTGGGAGGGTGGGTTTTGAATGTCTTCGGATTGGATGTCTCATATAATTACGATCGAACTTCACAGGTAAGTTAGTTTGATCGTCTAATTATATTTCGACATCCAATCCGAAGACATTGTATAGAATACCATGTAGTTGTTTAAAGATGCTTTGTTTTTCAGCATTCAACTAAAAATTCCACACAAAGAAATAATGCACATTTAATCCCCCTTAATATAAAAGAAATGTTACGTCTACTTAGAACTAAGAATGGTTGTCGCAAAAGTATTTGATTGTGATAGTGGTCGATTGTAAAAATTACAGAACACTTTTGAATTTTCTGTCCAGCCCGCAGTTTGTTGAATTACTTCTATTGGTACTCCTAACTGCCAAGCTTTAGATGTTGAGGCATGGCGTGTAGAATGGGCTTTGAAAATGAGAGTGTTCACACCCGCTGCATCTAAAGTGTCTTTCACCCATCTACTTAAAGTTTGCCTGCTGGCAGTTCTGTGTGGCTTCTTAAAAGTAATAAATAAAAAGTCCATATTCGATGTGCGATGTTCTTTTGTGGCCGCTAAATACCTCTTCAAAGTTGTCGCAACACAGAGTCTGGGGTTTTCGACGAAGAAGGGCAAGTTTAAGCAAGGTTGCTTTCTTCCTGGGCCTGAAGTCTTAATTTGGTCCTCGATCAAAATTTGGAATCCAGTACTTGATTCTAAAATATTACGTAGGCGTATCAGCGAAAACGTTTGCATCCTGTGTGCGGTGGAGAGAGCTAATAAGGTGATTAGCTTCTCTGACAAAGCTTGAAGCGTGGATGACTCTCTCTGTTCTAAAAAATTTAGAACTAATTGCGGATCCCAGGTGACATTGTATCTCGGTTTTTGAGGCCGAAGCTTAGATATCCCTTTCAAAAACCGAGACAAAACGGGATGGCCCGCTAAGTCCGTTGACAAAATCAGAGCCAAGGCGGAGCGGTGTGAATTAAATGACCCGTAAGAATTTTTCCCTATGTCAAACAGGTGTTGTAAAAAATCCATTACGAGAGCTGGAGTCCCATCATACGGAGAGATACTTTTCTTCTCACAGAAAGGCCACCAGAGCTTGTATGTTACTCCATACTGCCGAATTGTTGCCGCTGATAAGGAACTGAGAATTGTTTGAACAACTTTCGCTGGTAAGTGTTTTAATTTGAACGCTTCCCTGATAGCTTCGCTGCTAGAAGTGTAAGCCTGTCCGCCAGTGGGTGTGGATCGGTGCTGTAAGGATTAAACAAAGAAAATTTAGTAGGTTTAAAAAAGATAGGTCCTTCAATAATTAAATTAGAAAAAAGTGGGAACCAAGCTTGGTTTTGCCATTTAGGGACTATAACGATCCCTTCCGCCTCATCATCTACTATTTTTTGTAAGACTCTTAAAATTAAAGCAAAGGGTGGGAAGGCGTAGAAAAACATTTTTTCCCACGAAAAAGTAAAACTGTCAATCTTAAAAGCAAAAGGGTCTTTCTGCCAGGAGACATACCGATCACATTTGTTATTAACTCTGGAGGCAAATAAATCTATTTCTGGCACTCCAAACTGGCGAGTTACCAAATCGAATGCCTCCTTAGAGAGACTCCATTCCGTTTCAGGGGGTAAGCTTCTAGATTCTCGGTCCGCAATCCAATTATCCGAAGAACTAATGTAGGAGGCGAGAATCCACAAGTTGCGTACCTCGCACCAATCCCAAATTTCCCTTGCAAGAGCCGAAAACTTTGGGTGATGGACACTACCCATTTTATTTACATAGGACAAAGCAGTAGTGTTGTCGCATCTTATTAATATGTTACAATTGGTGGCCGAAGAAGCAAAGCTTTTAAGGCCCAAAAAAAAATTGCCAAAAGTTCTAAATAATTAATATGTCTTATTCTTTCCTCTGGGCTCCACCACCCTCGAATCTTATCTGACCCACAGCACGCGCCCCACCCTGTAAGCGAAGCATCAGTAAAAATTTCGAGAACGAACTGATCTTTTCTAATATCATTATATGAGGAATCAATTGAATTGATCCACCACGAAAAATCCTGTTGCAAATCCATATGCAGTACCATTAGACCTGAAAAATCCCCATTAATTTTTGCTAGTGCTAGACACTTGTGGCGTTCAAAGAGCTTAACATGAGCCCACCCGTACTTGACGCCTTGGCAAACAGAGACCAGGTATCCTATATACTGCGCCAGATCACGAATTTTGCATTGAGACTTAGACCGGAGAGTTTTACTCCAAATCTTTATTTTTTCCCTCTTTTCTGCAGGTAAAGAGATTTTCAATAGTTCTGAGTCTAATAAAAACCCCAGAAATCTAATGGTTTGACTGGGGTTCAAATGACTTTTCATAACGTTTATAGAAAACCCTAAAGACTTCAAAAAATTTACGGTTACCTTAGTGTCATGTAAGGAGCCTTCATACGAAGAATTGAATAACAGAAAGTCATCCAGATAACACACACAAATAATGTTTTTAGATCGAAGCCATTGTGTAACAGGTCTCATTAGTTTTGTGAACACATAAGGGGCTGAAGCCAACCCAAAAGGCAAACATGCAAATTCATACAGATCGTGATTAAATTGAAACCTCAAGAACTTTCTAAATTTTGGGTCAATGGCTATATGGAAGTAGGCATCTTTAATATCAATAGTTGTGAACCAACACCCTTTTTTGACAAGCCTTAAGGCCGTTCGAATGTCTTCCATTTTAAAATGAGATGTTTGTAAAAAGGAATTAAGATGTTTTAAATTAAGTATGAATCGTTTACCGCCATCAGATTTATCAGCCAAAAAGATATTAGAAATAAAATGCCCTGGACAAGGACTGCACTTGCTTATCGCATTTAAATTGAGTAAAGACTTAATTGCCTCATGCATAGCAGTGTCTTTAGTCGTCCAGGTCTTTGTTGGGGGTACTTGCTCTAGACTAGGTGAACTACAAAATGGCAAGGCATAGCCTTTAATCCATTTCAGTATTACGGGATTTGAAGTAATCAAACACCATTTGTCATAGAAAAGTGAGAGCCTACCACCAATTGGGCTTACCTGCTCTATCGTCTGTATTTCCCCTGCTTCTGATGGGACTGCTGGCCTCGGAATGATCTCGACTGTCCCTTTTGACGAGTCGGGCCGTAACGGTTTAAAGAACGCTGGTCTTTCGCTGATGTGAACACAGGCTTCAAACGAATTCGCCCAGAGTTCCTACCACCTCTGTATGAAGCTGAGAATTGCAAAGGAGTAGCCGCCTTTAATTCCTTTCCTGCGTTCTGTAGAGACTTAGCTTCCCTGACGCTCTCTGAAACATCTGATCCAAAAAGGAAATCTCCTGGTTTAGTTCTCCCTAGAACCTCCCTAATGTTTTTGTTAAGGGTTGGTAAAATCAAATTACGCCTAGAGTCAGAGATGTCGTGAAAGGTGTGCGCCAGTAAACGACTAGCATCACCCAAAGGGGCTACAATTTCATCACGTAACTTTTTTGGAATAGGATTGTCATTCAGCAAAGCTGTCAAAGACTTTCCCATAGCTCCCAAAACCGTTGCGAGTTTCGTTTGGATACTTTTATTAAAATTGTCCCGAGCCACCCGATCGTTGGCCAAAATTGCTAAAACTTCGGGATTTAGCTTAGGTGAGTTAAGTGTCGGACAGTTCTCCGGGACTGCATAACGTTGAGTTAAGGAAAGTAAATTTTCCTGCGAAAGGCCATTTGTTACAATGTAGTTCCACCTTGAGGAAAGTGCCTCATGTAAACAGTCCGCCTTAACTGGAGTACTAGGGCAATCATTTCCTAAAACGTCTCCAAAATCATCAAGGGCTAAAGAGCCGTCGTCGATGATGAGTACATTTTCTTCCAATTCGGTCTCAGGGCCGTTAGTCGAGTTCAAAGGAGCTCTAGGCTTTGGTCTACCATCCGCTCCGTGTAGGTCCTCAGCCTCACAGTGAGGAGAAAGACTTAAAGAAGTCTGGGATTTGTCACCTGCCCTTAAAGAAGGAGCAGGCGAAAGGCTTAACGAAGCCTCAGCAGACAAAGAACGTCTTCGTCTAAGATGCCTACTTGTTGATGGAACATCAGCAATGCTTAAGCTTTCAACGCTGCTGTAACTGCAATCAGAGCAGTCGCGTTTAGACCGGGAATCCGATCTTCTATTAATAGCTCGAAAAGGAGGCCGAGACTGCCTGTCATGGCCGCCGTCCACATTTTCCACATTTTCCTTATCCTCTAAAAGTCTCTCAAGCCTACGAAGGCGTTTTCGTAGGTCGCTTTTTGACGTCCCCCTGCTCCTAGAGCGATGCCGCTTGTTGGACTTGCCCATGTGTAGTAAAAAATTACATACGGGCGAAAAAGGCCTATGGTCGACAACGCCAAAAACATGCACAAGCCTAAAAAAAATACCTATGGTTAATAAAAACCGCTAAAATAAAATCATTTAGTTATACTCAGATACCAAAATCGTCGAAAAACGCAAGACAACGATGTGAATGTGAACACGAGCACGAGAAAGCGAAGAATGAATCACCTGACGCCTGGCGCGAGGAACGAAACGCAAGGTTAACTCAGTGGCGGCTCGGCGGCAGGGTCGAACTTCTATTTTTGTTTCCTTTTTGTGAAACCTTTCTTTAAATACTCGTGATATGAGTTCGAGCAAGCGAACTACATGGTATTCTATACAATGTCTTCGGATTGGATGTCGAAATATAAT